GGGGGCGGTTGTGGCGACAGGCCGAGTGGGGATTGGGCGCGATGGGCGGTTGACGTGGAGGTTGGGGTTGTGCGGTGCAACTGTCTGTGTGTGGTGGGTGTCTGGACGTGGCAAGTATAGCGCATGATCGTTGCGGGCCGAAGAGGGGTGGGAAGGTGCGCGCTGTGTGGCCGAGCTAGTGCCATACCGGGTGCGGACGGGGGCGGACTGCCGGGCTCAGGGCAGCGGTCAACGCGCGGCCGGGTGACGCATCGCGTGCTGCACAGGCTCGAGCTGCACCATTCGCTATTCTGCGAATGAAAGACCAGCGGGCTGCATCTCGCGGCCCGTTTGATACGCGCACGCCGCTGCGATTTGAGCTCAGCGAAGCCGGCGGCGCGATGCAGCGCTGCTTTCGCGAGATGCGAGCACAGTTGCCACTGCTTCCACGCCCGCCAAAGCATGTCAAGTGTTTGACTTTGAAAATTGCGCCCGAGTCGGTCATGGAGACACACGCGCGAACGGGATCACCCGAGCTCCACCGCGTACACCCTAAACTGCAAACACAGGCTCACCACGAGTGGGTAGCCGCTCTGCATATCTAGCCTCTTGTTTGCATCCGTGTCCGGGGGCAGCCCAACTCTGAGGTTGGGCAGCTGTGCCGCGGCGAGCACGATCAGGGCACTAAACAGGAGAGCCCGGCACGCCATTGCGACAGCGAGTGACATTTTGGACCCAACAACGGACAGCAGTGGTGAGGTGTCGTACAACAGGGGAGCATGCGGGGTGCGATTTGTTGCAATGCTCAAATCACGACGGTGGCCGGCCATGGAAATGACTTGAAAACTTGTACCCCGCCACGGCTGTGCACGCGCATACACGACCTCATACAGCCTGATAGGTTGCACAGCTGCTGCATACGGTACACGAAACATGCGCAGCAGGCGACCAAACGGCCTCTTTCCTTGTGATGGCACGCCAATTTTTTTGCGTCAAAGGAAGCTGCCGTACTAAGATGGGTGTCATAGACATGTAGCACAGGTTGTTTGTGCAGCGGCATGAGGAACTAACCCACACGATTCCCTTCACAAAAAAGCAGCGGCGGAAGGGACATGGTCGGGGGGCGAAGGTAAGCTGGGCCGAACACATGTGTTTGCTCTATTGTATGAGGCGAATCTACACAGGGAGGCTGCCTGCGTCTTGGGGTGCGCATGTGCAAAGCGATGGGAGGGGAGGGAGAGGGAGTGCAGCAGCTGGCCACCCGCACTCAGGCCCCATGACGATGAGGTTTGAGTGTGGTGGCAAGGGCGGGGGAGCGTGCTTTACAGCTGCCTTGGTCGGAAATCCAGCTTGCCTACCGTAGCCCTTGCACATCATCTGCGCTTACCCAGATAGGCCAACACCAGGAACAATGCGGTCGCGTCCGCCAGGCTGCGGGCGTGAATACCTCTCTGTTCCCATGTCGCCAACCAGTCAGCGCACCCTGCAGTATCAGCGTAATCGCAGGCTCTTGAGCTCGTTCACACGCCGCAACCCTTGATATGCGACGCTTGAGCCTCCCTGGAGCGGGCCGCTGCAAATGGAGGAGGTTGCTGAACTCTCTGCAGTGAGGCGAGATATCATACAGGTTTGGGCCGAGGCTAGGATCGCGGGTGCAGCGCATGCCGGGAGCGCCACTACGCAAAACTAGCGGTTGCCGGAACAAAACGCCGTCTTTGATGGAGCCTGGCTTTCCTGCTCGTGCGGCCTCGCTTCCATCCGGCTCCCTCCCGAAGCCCGAAATCCTTGCATGCCCAACGTGCGGGCTGTCCAGTCTTCAACGTCTGGGTCCTGCTGTTAGTTCTTTGTGAACACAACTTCAACTTGTCAGCCTCCTGTTGGCTGCCTGCAACCCTTTAGATCACACCCGCTCAGCATCATGGGCACAAGGGTGTACGTCGGGTTTCAAGACCCTTCCATACCTGATAGAGATGTGAGGGCGTCGCTAGCGCGGGGCGAACGGGTTCACAACCGGCCGATGGGGTGGGGACAGCGGCGCCAGCAGCGGCTGCGGCTGCTGCTTTGCGCTGCGCCCGATCTGGCATGCAGCCATGGCGGCACGGGGCAGAGCATTTTCTGTGGCGCTCCTTAGTGTGTCGTCCATTTTTCAGGGGCCACCCGTGCTGCAGTTCCTGAAGGGCCCCATTACCGCTGCCCACCCCCGCCGCAGGTGGAGGACGCATTTGGGCGCTTTGGTCGGCTGCAGGACGTTTGGATCGCGCGGAAGCCCGGCGGCTTTGGTGGGTGGGCGCCGCCGGCGGGGCCGAGAGCCTGCAGGTGGCGGGCGGCGGGCTGAGCACTCTGCGCCGGCGGCGGGCGACGGCGGGCAGGGTCGGCTCTGCAGACGACTTCAGCCGTGTGTTGGGCGACCCTGCCGCGCCGCATGGCAGCCCCATACGGCGGCGCCACGCCGGCGACACAACCAGCCCCCACGCGCCCTGGCTTGGCCTACCGCTGGCGCACCCGGCGCGCGCCGTGGGGCCAGCACGCACTCACGCACCACTCATTCATCGGCCAGCCGGCCCCTTGTCGCCACGCCGCGACACGACGCGCCGCCTGCCTGCGCCTCGCCGCGACGCGACGCGCCGCGACGTCCCCCTCTCTGCGGAGATTCCGACGCGCCCGAGCCAGTAGCGGCGGCGCCGCGTCTCGCCGTGGGCCGCCCCCGTGTGTGTCCCTCTACCTAATCCGATCGCCGCACCCGCATCGCCGCTGCCGCTGGGACCGGCCTGCCGCTCGCCTTGCGTCAACGCGCCTCCCCCTCCAGGCTTTGTCACCTTTGAGGTGGGTCGAAAGGAGGCGTGCGGCAGCAGGGCGCGGCGCTGGATGTTGCGGCCTCTGCCCCGCCGTGTCTGCCTCCGACAAACCTCCCGCGGCCACATACGAAGCGCCCCTCGCGACACCTCATCACCTGCGCCCACCTCAACCCCCTGTTGTCATCGCCCTCTCACAGAACCTGAAGGATGCGGAGGAGGCCGTCAAAAGGCTGGACGGCCACAACGGCTGGCGCGTGGAGATCAGCCGCGGCCGCGGCGGCCGCCCCGGCCGCGGCGGCGGCGGCGGTGGCGGCATGGGCCGCTTCGGCGGCGGAGGCGGCTACGACGCACCGCCCGGCGCGTGGGGCCCTCCGCCCGGCTACGGGCCGCAGGGCTACGGGCCGCCCGGCGGGTGGGGTGGGGGTGGTTACGGGGGTGGCTTTGGCGGCTATGGGGGCGGCGGCGGCGGCGGCTACGGCGG